ACTGAGCTCCATAGCCTGGCTAAGCTGACACAAAATTAACCATCACCTCAGCACCGTAGCAAAAGATGACCAAATGTGAATGAATTATTTCTAAACCACCTACTTTGTATAACGATATTTATAACTCTCTTGGTACTAATCTTAAATACAATGAATAATTGTTTAACATACCGACACACATAATTTTTTAAAATCAGCATAAGGCTCTAATAGTAACATAAAGGAGAATTTTAAAACAATTTACAGTAACATGATTTCTGTGTGTAAATATGTGGACAGTTATACTAGCATTCGGGTGGTTGCCCTTCTGTACACCCACCATCAATTCAGTGGCTACAAATGCAGACGGTCACAACTGCATTATGTCACAGACTCAAATACCAAGAACAGGCTTTGCCATCAAAGGCACGGCTTTCTGAAATGGTATACAGAAGTTCTGAATAAGACAAATTACTGTAGTCTTCCCTCCATTTTATATAAAGTTGCATGCTGAGAGAAATCTGAGTACACTAAACCCGTACAAAAAGTACATTTGTGTTTATATGGAAAAGAGAGATTATAGGCCCAGCTAATTTTAAACTGTCTTTTCATTTATTTGAGTATTTATAGAGACATCTGATAGTTGTGCGGGACTTGGGACTTGTGCAGAGACTATCCTGGGCACTGCAAAAAATCTAGCATCCTTGGCCTCCACCCACCAAATGCCAGAGATGCTTCCCAATCACTGTGACAATCAAAACATTTTCACCTGGGGGTGGGGGGTACTACTTCAGCTAAGAACAATAGTGGTGAACAGGAAGCCATCAAAAATATTTCCCCCCAAGTTTTTCTTTGAGCAATTGGGGGAAAAAAAGGCAGGAAATCAAGGAATAATATATACTTCCAACACCCAGAATTAACATCTCTAACATTGTTTTATCTTGAATCTTAGTTGTAAAAGAAGTACAAAATTAGAGACCTGTGACATTGTGATAAAAGAAACAGAGGCAGGGGTGCCGGGTGGCTCAGTGGGTTAAGCCTCTGCCTTCAGCTCAGGTCATGATCTCAGGGTCCTGGGATTGAGCCCCGCATCAGGCTCTCTGCTCAGCAGGGAGCCTGCTTCCCCCCCTCCTCTGCCTGCCTCTCTGCCTACTTGTGATCTGTCAAATAAATAAAAATATTTAAAAAAAAAAAGAAAGAAAAACAGGGGCACAAGCCTGGCTCAGTTGGTAGAGCATATGACTCTTGATCTTGGGGTTGTAAGTTAGAGCCCCATGTTGAGGGCAGAGTTTACTTTAAAAAAAAAAAAGCAATATATACATATATACATAAATATTTGGTCATCTTCTCCAGTTATTGGCAGTTTCTAAGACCTCTGTAATCTCCAGAGTGATGTCTGTATGTTAATGAGCTGACTTGGTGGGCCTCTAGCAAGCCACAGGATGGAAGCTGATCACCATAGCAACAGGGCCACGGCATAATTAGAGGACTAGAATTATCCGCCTCACTCTCCCATCCCCCAGGCTGGGAATAGGGGCTGCAGATTGAGCTAACTACCGGTGACCAATGATTTAATCAATTGTGTTTATGTAACAGGACATCCAGAAAAACCCTCAACAATGGGGTTCAGAGAGCTTCTGGGTGGAGAACACACTACGGTGTTAATAGGGTGGTATGCCTTTACCCTGCCTTAATCATCTCTTCTATTTGGCTGTTTCTGAGTGGTATCCTTTCTAATAAACCAAGCAATAATAAAGTGTTTCTCTAGTTAAGCTTTGTGAGCCATTGTAACAAATTATCAAACCTAAGGAGATCATGGGAACGATTTGTAGCCAAGTGAGGCAGAGTGTGGATAACCTGGGGATCTACTACTTGTGACTGGCATCTTAAATGGGGCCCAGTCTTGTGAGACTAAGCCTTTAACCTGTGGAGTCTGTGTTGACTCCAGGTAGCTAAGGGCACTGAACTGTAGGATACTCAGGGGCTGTCTGGAGAGGTGGGAGAATTGTTCTGTGTGGGAAAAATACATTTGATGTCATAAGTCTTGTGACTAGAACAAACAGTTGTCATTTAAGTTCCCTTCTACCTCTGCCCTACTCCACTTCACCTCACCCCCAATATGACTACTATTGTGAGTTCAGTGTATCCTTTCAATCTATTTTTTTGTACTTTTACAATTATATATGGAGATATATAGATATGTATCTCCATCTTCACAACATAGAGGACAGTTGTCCCCAAGCGTTAGATACTCTATCACAATTTCTCACATACATGCTGATCTGTTTGAGTTTATTGTACTATACCAAGAACCTATTCATCTACTCCTACACTAATGTCACTACATTTGGATTACTCTAAGCGTCCTACTATGTCATGGTATCTGGTAGGCTAACACATCTTATTTGTTCCTCTTCAAAACTGTCTTAGTTACTTGTGCTTTTAAAGGTTTTTTTTAAAAGGAAAAGTGGTGTCTTCTACAGACACGTGCCCCAGTATGGGAGGGCGGAAAGTCCAAGAAACTCTATTGGAAGAGAAAAAAGAAGATAAGGGGGTGTGGGGATGGGTACCCAAGATATTCTATTCAGAGAGAAAGCACAAATAGGCATGGGACAAGAAACAGCATGCAAGCATATAGGCAGTTGATATTACCAGAACAAAAAGGATGATGTAGGGACATAAAATGGGTCAGGTCTTAAGGACCTCATACACCATATTAAGGAGTGTGGACTTGACTCCACAGGTCAAAGATTCTTAACCTATACTCTATGGTTGAACTCCAGAGGACAGCAAAAGCAAGAGTGCCATAATCATGTTAGTTCCAAATAGGGGTCTCTGATAGCAATGTGGCAGATAAATCTGATGAGGTCAAGATTGAATCAAGACCTCTAAAAGTCTTCTGCAAAATTATAAGCAAGAAATGATAAGGAATCAACTGATTAAGTGGATGTTTAAATGGTAAAAATTAAAAAGATAATTACTTGGGTAGGAGTAGGATATAGAAGTCTAATAAAACTCCCACTATTTCTGACTTGATGATAGCGTCATTAACTAAAGTAGGAGGGAAAAAATAGGTCCTGGAGACAAGAAGGAATGTGGTTAGTCGTGGACATACCAAGTTAGAGAGGCCTACAGGATATTCAAGTAGATATGTCAAGCAACTGGATATAGCTGAAGCCCAAAAGGCCAATCTGGAAGATACAGATTTGGAAGTCAGCAGCAGGTATTAATAGCTGACATCTACTGAGTGCTTATCATATGCCAAAGAAATACTTTGAATTATCTCATTTAATCTTTAACCTAATCTCTTAAATTAGGAACTGTTATTTTTTAATCCCCATCAGACAGAGGTAAACTGAGGAGTTAAGTAATTAGTCTACTGCAATATGGCGAGAATGGTAGAGTTGGGATACCAACACTAAGCACTTAACTATTTTCATGTTAAAAACCATTGAGTACCTGGAATAATGTAGGAAAAACAAACAGAATGAGAGCAATGATCTAAGAACAAAACTTTGAAGCACATCAGTGTTTAAAGTGGGCAGAAATTCCCGAAGGAAATCAAAAGGAAAAGTCAAAGGCAGAGGAGGAAACAAGATAGTGGCCCCCCCTCTGTGGCCGAAGCAGAGCTTCAGTGCAGCGGCTGAACAGCCGGGGAAGGCCGCAATCATCAGTGGGTGTGACACGAGAGAGGCCACGCTAACCAGGAGTTTCAAATTTCAAGTCCGTGGAAGTAGCATCACGTAGACTTCTTAAATAACCTTGAGAAGTCTGTTTAGACAGGAGGTGGGGGGCGTTAAGCAAGTTTGTATACTGAGAAGAAAGAAGAGTATGAAATAAAGACAACAAATGGAGCAAGGGCTGGGATGGAAAAGGGTAATGAGGGAGGAGGCAAAGATTGCAGTGGAGCTGTTTGAGGGCTCTGCTATGGGCACAGGCTGGACAGGAAATCAGTTTAGGTCAAGAAAGGGCTGACAGACTGGAAGAAAACAGAAGGAATCAAAAGACCTAAAGTCTGTAAGTTCTAGAGCAGGAAATGAGAATGTAAGAGAGCATCTCGAAATGGAATGACGTTAAAGAAAAGGAGAGGGGAGGGTAGAGGCAGAGGAAGGGAGGGGGAAAAAAAGTGATATTACACTTTTTGGAAGTGCAGAGGTGAGCTGGGAGAATGGCGACCCTACCTACTTTCTGTGTAAGTGAGAAAGGAGAGGCAGTGGAATTCTTGGCTAACACACCAAGAGAGGATGGGAGTACAAGGCCTGGTGGTACAGGAAGGCTGGGTGTTTCTAATCACAGTAGAGGGCTTTCACGTGAAAGGTTTAGGAGTGAAAGCATGAGAGAAAACAAATGTCCAAGGGGATTGTTATCTCTGACGATTACCAAGAATGAGAATGAAGTCAACTAGCAAGCCTCAAGGCTCACAATGGAAGAGTGGCAAGAACAGCTGTCCTCTTAGTTGGGTTTTACCTTGAATGCACTGTGTTTTCTTTCAAATCCTCTGCACAACCCTGCAAAAAGACCTGCAGGTGGACTTCCTGTGCAGTGGCACAGGGAGAAATCAACCCTATGCTAATACGATGCCCACTGAGCCTGAGAAACTGGACTGCATCACTACAGGCTGCCCAACAACCCTTCCCTTAGGGAACTATGCCTCCTCCACTCCTGGCAATTTTGATAGGGCTGTTACACAAGGGCCTCTGCCTTCCTTAACTGAGAGGCACACGTGTGGCCACGAGCTGGCCGGAGTACCTTTACCTGGACACAGTAATTGGTCTAGGAACGGTCACTGACCAAGAAGAGCTATGGTCTTTAGTCTTTTCAGGGGATGTGTACAGATGCTGGAACAGTCTTTTGTCTGAGATAATGAGCTGACACCACAACTCCTAAAACTGCATACCCCCACTTCACAGGGGCCAAGAGCTCAAAATACGGAAATCCAGTCTGTGACTAGAAAACTGGTAGTCAAGGCCCCACCTCGGCCTTCCGTACCCTATTTAAGTAAACAAAAATACCAAGACACAGACATGACAAGATATTTAATGTCTGTAGGTGTGCTTGATCCTCCCATTCCTGTCGTGATTCCACCGCCTCCCCGAACCAGCAGTACCAGAGAAAACAGGGGCACTTTTTCTCAGCAGGATTTGAAAACCATTAAGGCCCTAGTTCTCTCGAATTGGAAAGGATTGCAGGCGAGATCATTCCACAGCATGCCTCAGGCCTCTCTGCTCAAGGAGGAAAACCCCCAGTTCTACAGGGCTCCTGAGGTCTTCTGTTCTTCTGCAGCCTGGCGCCGGGCGCTGCGCAGCTGGAAATAGCGGTAGGCTCGGGCACTGCAGAGGTAGCCCCCATACACAGTGAGGAGCATCATGGAGGCAGAGAAGGTCTTGTAGCCAATGTCAGCTAGCTGCTTGGCAGTTGGCATGTTGTCCCCTACAAAGACAGACTGGATTTAGACCCAAGAGTGAGGCCTCATCTGCCCAGTCCCCTTCTCTGTGTAAGGCCACTCCCCACCTTTTGCACCCTGCTCAGTCTATCTGTACTCTACTCTGAAGGGCCCCTCCACATACGTACTGTTCAGGAACACTTAAGATTCAGAAAGACAGGGGCGCCTGGGCAGCTCAGTCAGTTAAACGTCTTTCAGCTTTCAGCTCAGGTTGTGATCCCAGGGTCCTGGGATCGAGTGCCCCATCGGGATCCCTGCTCAGGGCGGAGAGTCTGCTTCTCCCTCTCCCTCTGCCATTCCCCTCCGCTTGTGCTCTCTGGCTCTCTCTCTGTCAAATAAACAAACAAAATCTTAAAAAAAAAAAAAATTCAGAAAGATAAAGTCTGCATACAAGATACAGACAGAGCTGGAAATAGGTGCATCTGAATGACATTACAGGTAAAACCTGGCCCTCTGTTTGTGGAGATAAAGGACTGGTATGAACTACCCAGAAATGTCCTTAACTGACATATGACTATGAGCACACATCAGGTTTTCTGGCTAGTAGGGAATTAATGGGGTTAGTCAGGGATTAAACATCAGCGGTGAATTACTCTCTCTGGGAGGATCAAATGGGAGATCCAGGATGGCCTGGTAAAGGTGAAATTAGAACCCCAGGTAGAAGTATTTACCTTGGAAATGAAACTTTTGAGGTTAGCAGAACATTCTCACCTGAGCAACATCAATTTTCTTAAAAAAAAAAAAGTGCTCAATGCTGGGTCTGTTATGGAGTGATGAGGTTAAACTGAAGGTTTCAAAAAAACAGGAAAAACTGCAAGTACAGTATAGAAAATTCCATAGGAGTGCAATCTGCAAAGTTCTGGCTCTGTTCCTTTTTTGCCCCCCCCCAACATGGCGGTACCTCGAGGCTCGGGGTTAGCCTCTGGAAATCATTTCCTTTTTTTTTTTTAAGATTTTATTTATTTGAGACAGACAGACACAGAGAGAAAGCACAAGCAGGGGGAGAGGCGGAGGAGAAGCAGACTCCCCGCTTCACAGGGAGCCCAACTGGGTACCCAATCCCAGGACCTGAAGGTCATGACCTGGACCAAAAGCAGATGCTCAGCCTACTGAGCCACCCAGGCGCCCCTGGAAATCACATCCTCAAATGTGTTCCAACCACCTCCGCTTAGATTTACTCATTTATCTGTCTACCTTTTTACTCCTGCTATGAAAGTCACAGAGGGAAAAAAGGTTTCTGTCTCAAAGTAGCTAATGTCTGATGGGGAAAAGCCACAGATCCCAAATCCAGTTATTTAACGTAAAAGATGGGCGGTGACCAGACGAGAAGCGAAGTGAGAGCTCAGAGAAAAGGTGGAGAGTGGGGGGTGACTCAAGAAGTCAGCAGCAAGCTGGGGGCGGGGGGGGGGTGGTTCCGTCCTTTAATAGGGTAGACAGGATGTATACCAGTAGGGAAGAGGGAAGGGGAGAGCATTCCGGGAGCTGAACGCGGCAGCACCGGGTGCCCGGGAGAGCCGCACACCAAGGTGCAGCTGACTGTTAGGCAAGGGTCAGAGCTACTTAAGTTGAAGCATGGAGGGCCAAGACCCCGGGTGGGAGGAAAAGTCTGACAGGAACCTACGACTGTCGGGGGTCTGTTGGGCTGGAAGCGGTGCTGGACGGCGGCTCGCGGTGAGGGGGGCAGGGAACGCGGCGATCTCAAGGGCACTGAAGGCCGGGGCATGGGACAATGGGTAAACCAAGGCCGGCCCAAAACGAGGCGCCTCAGCGTTCGAGCAGCCCCTACTGGGCTCTCTCAACGGCGTACCTGGGTGCTAGGTGCTGCTGCTTCCTGGCGTCCAGCCGCGGCCTCGGCTAAGGCCGGCAGCGTCTGGCCGCCGCAGTCTGCCAATTTCCTAGCGCAGCCGGACGCAGCACGCCTGGCCATGTACGCGAGGGTACCGGCCCGTTCCTGGGGGGCTATTAGTGCAGGAAGCCACCAGTTCTGTCTCCCACCCGTCCCACTTACCCTCTAGGGACTCGGCTCGGGACGCTAGAGACGTCAGCACGCGCCCGAACCCACGCAAATCCGCCCACAGAGAACGGAGCCCGCGCACGCCGCAGCTCCGCGCGTTGCCGCCTTTGCGCTTCCAGGCCAGTCACCCTTACTACGCATCCTCAGACCAGTCTTCCTTTCGGAGAGGACTGTTGAATTCTGGGGGTTGTAGTCTTTCTCCAGGGACAGCCGGTCTTTGGTGACTCCAGCTCCAGCCCCGGAACTTGTAGGATACACAATCACCACAGAAAAGACCGTCTATCTTTCCCACTCAGAGTCAGCCAATCCCCAGCCTGGGCGCGGTGACGCCTCCAGGAGCTGGGGGGATTCTCTCGGGGTCAGCCCTCCGGAGGTGGGCCGCGCGCCCCCTAAAGCCTGCACCTGCCCTCTTCCGCGTGGCCGGCTTCGGCCGAACTCAGGTAGGGACAGACCCACCCGGTACCGCGAGGCCTGGCACCACGAGGCCTGGCTGGCCAAGAAGGCGGCAGGTTTGGTCACGGCCCCGGAGTGGGTACGAGGGACGCATCTGTAGCGCTTCGGGACCGTATTGTGAACTCCCGGCTTGCAGGGACCCGCCGGGATTAGGGGACCCCTTGCGGGGAGAGGGACTGTGTGGGCATCCCTGCCAGGGGCCCGGAGTGGTAGGGATTATGGAGGAGACATGTCCTTCTTCATTTTTCCCTGTGGCATAAATGGAAACATAACACGCAGCGATACAACACGGCACTCACGCTGCCCCCACGCACTGAAGCGCCCTTTCCCAACTCCTTTCTGGAAAAACCACAATTTATTGAGTAGACAAGTAGTAGGCTTGATGGGAAGGCCTTAAATTGTTAGCTGTGGAGTGAACAAAAGTAGGCAAAGGTGTGGGACTTTCTAACAAGGTTACAGCAGCAGCCGAAAGAAAAGAGCTGTCTCTCGGCCCTCACTTTGACCTTCTTGGAGAGGCAGCTCTGGATTCAGTCAGAGCCCCAACCTGGGCCCAGCCAAATCTGGGGTGGCTGTGGTCTTCGCTCTGGCAGCCTGATTCAGGCAGCTCTGCCCTTCACTGGTAAGACAGTGAATCCTCAAGGGCTAGGGCTGAGGAGGGGAGCCTGCCTCCCTGATCTGGCAGGGAGTAAGAAAGGGTTAACATAATGCTGGCCAGAGCCACAGTGTGCCAGGTGCTGCCCCATAGGAAGCTGAGATCTGCTGAACATGGCTGGAGCCTGGCAGGCCCACAGGGCCTATTTGTAGCCAGGGGCCCAGGCTGCTGACCTGTGACATTCCCTGGCTGCCAACCCATCCTGGAACAAGGCCAGTTCAAAGCATATTCCCTCCTCCCATTCCTGTTCTTCCCTCACCACAGTGGGTAGGGTGGTTTTAATTTTTTCCTCCTTGAGTTTCCCAGCTCCTGAGGTGCTGATGGAGTCAGTACCTCATGAGAAAGCCTTCAGGTGACAAAGGAGAGCTGGCCTTGCTTACCGCTCCCTGCTCACAATCCCTGAGCAGGCTTTGGGCCACTCTCTGGCCCCTGGCCCCTGATGCAGGTGCTGGTTAGCTGCCCTGGCTGCTCTGGGAGCAGCTGAGAAATAGGCACAGGTTCTGGGAAGAAGAAAGGGCTGAAGCCAGGGAGGTCCTTGAGAAGAAGCAGGAGGGACCCAACTGACACCTCCCCCAACTAGATAGAGCTTCAGAGAAGGGAGGTGGGGCAAATACAAAGGTCACAGGGAAGCAGAGTGATCTGAGCCTGCTCTGAAAAGGTGTTGCTGTCAGCAGATTAGGTTCCTCCCCTGCCGAGGGTGCTGGCCTGGAGGGTGAGAGTCGTCTTGAAAGGTCATGCATGGTGGGGAGGAGCTGGCAAGAACTAGGAAGTCCCTGGGGAGAATGACAAGCCCTAGGGCCAGAGACGCCAGCATGGCAGCAACTCTGGTGCCAGGGCAGCCTTGAGGTTGGGTGGGGGAGGGATGGGGAGGAATGACCAGAGGTTTCTGAGGACGCAGATGTTGCTAGGAGAAGCTAAGAGGGGGCAGAGAGCTCTGTATTTTGTTAACAAACACTGAGATCCATTGATGATGTGTGGGGCCCGGCAGAGGTCAGAGCAAGGGGGTCCCTGAGGCCTGTGTCAGCTCAAAAGCCCGGACCCTTCCTTGGCAGCCCTTGCCTCATTCCTCTTGTGGCTGAGGTACTTCTTTAGCCACTTAACTGGGCTTGGGGCCGGGACTCCTGGTCTGCGTGAGGCAGCAGTGGGTAGCCCTTGCCTCCCTCTCCCTTCATCCTCTCCCCAACACACACACCCAAAAAAGCAGGCAGCATTGGGGCTGGAGTCTCCCCCCGCAGAAGACAAGGAGAAAGACCCACATCTGGAGAGGGACAAGGCAACTCCATTTCTGGTGAGAGGTGGTGGCAAGAGACTGTAGGCTGCTTGATGGTTCAGGATCCCCAGGTAGATAGTTGGGCCCCACAGCCTCCTGTCCTCCAGAAGAGGCTGCTCCATGGAGCATCCCAGAAGTCCTGGTGGCCAGGTACCCCAAGCTGTTGACTGTCTCCATTGGGGCAAAGAAGGTGCCTGGCCTGGGCCCCAGCTCTGCTCACAAATGTTCTGGATGATTCTGCAAGCAATGGATGAATTCGCCCACTGGCTGCCTCTCATAGCATATCCTATACACAGCCATGAACAGAGGAAACCTAGAATAGGGAAGGAAAGACCCAGCTCAGCCTTCTGGCATACCCCTACCCCACCTACCCCCACCCACTCCCCATCCACCTCCTAACCCTCCACTCCTCTACTCTCCCACCTTTGAGCTCAGGCAGACTCTGGCTCTCAATTTCCAGCTGCTGAGAATTCCAACTTCCTAGTCCTGGGTTTAGGGTAGGTTCTTGATTGCCCTGTTCCCTACCATATTGAACTTGCCTGTATGATTCCGTGGCATGAATTATTTGTTCTAGTTGGGCAGGCCACTTAACTTCTCTACTAAGCCTCAGTATCATCAACTGTAAAATGGGATCCATATAACAGAGTAGTGAAGAAGGGATTATGTATTAATGTGAAGGAGCTCAATAAATGTGTTTCCTTCCTCCCATCCTCTTGCACAGGCTGCTTGCTTTATCTGGAGGCATGCCCTTGACCAGCTGTGAGCTGATCTTCTGAACCTGATTCAAATTCTCTTATTCTAGGATTCTTTCTCAGACCAATGGAGCTCTGCTCTGATCAGCCCATCACCCCCACTGTCTTTGTGCTCCCTAAAAAGGAGCACCTTGACTCAGAGACTGTCCTCCTCACACCTCTGCACCCAGGACAGGATTCAGGGTACAGAAGGGTTGGCCTCCAGGGAGTGGCTTAGACTGGGGCTGAGGGACAGAGAAGTGGGGCAGTCAGTTGAGTTTATACCTACTGCCCCAGAACCCAGTCCCCATAGCAGAGGACAGGAGGAAAGGGCAGGAAGTGAGGCTGCATGGAGGGGTCCAAGCAATGTGGTTAAAGAACACCAGCCTGGAGGCAGTTCAAAGCCTATGAACTAGTGAACAGACCAGACTCTCTCCAAGCTCTAGTCTCTTTGTAAACCTAAGTTTCCCTCTCCACCCGCTTTACAGATGGAGGAGGGGTTAGGAAGATGAATGTGAGAGCACTTATGGCTGTGGTCCCCTTCCCCAGTGGGGCTGGGGCAGACACCTACTTGTCCACCAGGCCCTTGTGCTGGAGGATGCTGTGTAGCTCCCGGGCTGTCGGAGGCCCCTGCAGCTTCTGCCCATTCAGCATCTCCTTCTCCAGCTGCTCAATGGGCTGTGAAGAAAATAGGATGGGTAGATGGAAATGGGAGAGGAGGATTGTGCGCGTGAGGTGGAGAGTCTGGGACTCGGATGGGAGGTGGGGTCTTGGAGGAAAGAAAGGCTCAGAATATTCACAACAGTCTTAATGTTTGTGCTCAGAGATGCCTCAAGCTAAACCCCTCCACTTGGAACCTGTCAGGCCGCCCTCCATTCCCCATTCTCCCAGGGTCCCACCTTTCCTGTGCGGGCGAAGGCTTCTGCCACCTTTCGGTTCCGTCCTCCATAGCAGGTAGTGATGAGGTCAGCAATACCGCAGCTCTCCAAGAAGGTGGCACAGGACACAGGGCCACTGCAGAAGAGCTTGGCAAAGGCGATCATCTCCATGAGCCCCAGTCGGATCACCGCAGCCTTGGTGTTGTCGCCAAAGCCCAGCCCATCACAGAAGCCAGCGCCCACGGCCACTACATTCTTTGGAGAGTGGAGGTCACAGGTGAGAAAGGATCCCTCCCGGCAGGCCCATTGGCACCTGCCTCATGCTCCTTCCATCAGCCAGGACACACCACTGAATAAGTGAAGTATAGTGTGCCTGAGCTCCCCAGCTGTTTCCACCTCTTGATTTTCCTACTTCCTATAACCCTGGCCCCGTGCTTCCTGCCTCCCCAATGCTGCCCCGTACCCCAAGCCTTGAGAACTTGAGCTGAAAACCAGTCTCCTGTCCAGCTGACCCTCCTCTCCATGACTATTCTGTTCCATATCCCTGATGTCTTCAGCTCTATCCAAGATCCAGAGTTCTGGCCATCAGTCTACCTGGGTGTCCTGGATGTCTTATCTCCCATGAGCCAGGGTCCTTCCCCAGGACATCTCCTCTTACCCCTGGACCACCCACTGGAGGCAGGGATAGGGATGCCCCCCAAGGAGCTACAGGAAGAAAGGAAGGAGGCAGCCCAATGTTTGATGGTGAGTAACTGGCAGGCCGGAATGACCCTGACCTTGCTGCTACAGTTCTTCCTGTGTTGGGGGGACTTGGTGGGGAAGAGGAGCAATTGCCCAAGAGTGAGAGCCTGGAGTCCCAGCAACGTTGTAGAGCTAAGCCAGGCCCTCCTTCGGGGCCTTCTCCCCACCCCTTAGCTGCCTCTGCACCCCTCTCACCTTTAACGCCCCACAGATCTCTACTGTATCCACCTCCTGCACCACTGTGATGCGGAAATTCGGGGTC